AAGAAAAGACGGTCATTACTACTCAGGCTTTGGGCCGAGATTCCGAAACGCCGCAGTGGATCAATAATGACGCGATGATCGAAGGCACTCGAGGCGAGCCCGCATTTTTCCACTCTTAATCACCGGCCCTAATTGGTCAATTACGCTCATTACCGTCTCCTACGGTAGAGAGGCGAGTCGGACGATAAAATCTCTCCTCTCTCCGGCCCCGTGTGCAGTAGCGGAGGCAGCAGCAGCGGAGGCAGCGACCCCCACCAACGCGCGCGTACCCGCGAGTAATCCCTGCCCGCCGTGCCTCCCCTCAAGCCGAGAGTCGGACGCGTCGCGAGAGAGAAACTTATCCCTGGCAGGGAAAAATCAGCGGGTCTATAGCCCTGGTTCAGCTCCGTTCCGCGGAGAGGAACCCGGCCACGAGGGCGGAGCGACCCGAGCCATGCCCCTTCTGCTACCTCGAGGCCTCGCCCACTTTTGGATTTCCCCTTTCTCGCACTTTCGCCCCCACCCCCGGACGCCGACCCTGCTCCGACGGCGTCTCTTTCCGACCGACGCACGGGCCCCCACTAACCGAGGCGCCTCCACCCGCAAAACGAAAAAGTCCGAGCGCCGCAGTCGACGATGGTCAAAGTCAGTCCACACGGAGAGCTCGAGTCGAGTAGAGGCTAGTCCAGGTCAGCTGGCCGGAGATCCATCGATCCGTCGATCCCCGGCTCACCTGTCAAACGCGTACACGCACCGTCGTATTTCTCACGGACTCTTCGGTGATCGTTCTTGGAAAATTCTCGTACGACCCGTTACCCGACCCGGAACATCCTTACGCCGGGCCCTCCCATTTTCGGCCCTCGGTCGCGTGCACGAGATCGCGACGAGTCAGTGAAAGAGAGACAGAAAGCGAAAGAAAGAGAGAGAGAAAGAAGAGAGAGGGAGAGGGATCGGACTTTGTCTCTTCCGTAGTACCTATCAGTGAGAGGATTCTTCGTCGAGCTATCGTCGGGAACATGAGAGCATAGAGGATCGAAGAGCAGTTTCAGTGCTACGGTGAAGGCTATAGATACAAAGAGGTGTGCAATCGCGGTCCAAGAATGACAGTACTAAGGATGACCTCCCCGGTGACGCCTCCATCGAGCAGCCCAGGTTCCAACGAGGCCCAGGCGCCCCAGGCGACTTCGAAACCGGTGCATCGATTGAGCTTCTCCGTCGCAGCTTTGCTGGCCGACACCAAGAAGTCGGATTCCTCCAGACAGGAGACCTCCTCGGTGTCACCCAGGTCATCGCCGCTCGCATCTTACTCCCCGGTGAGACACGACCAACTGTCAGTCACGACTACCTCCACGCTGCACAAGTATCCGACCGACTACCGATGCAGATACCTGTCAGTGTCCCCCGTCTTCCAGGACCACGCGCCGACCCAGTACACCTGCGACGCGTCCAGAAGCTCCCTGGACGCGCGAAACTTAACCAGGTTCCCGAAAATCGAGGTTGACAGGGTGGAATCCCCCAATCAACGTTCCAGAACCCTGGACTACGTGGTCCAAACGTCCACCGAGGCTGGGTCCACGTCCGAAGTGGTAGCCTGTTCCTCGTCGCCCAAGATCTCGACAGCCAGTCACGCGGAATTCGGATCTCAGTCGCCGAGGAGCAGCTCGCACGAGGCCAGGTCCAGGTGCTCGGAGCCGGAAGACATCGACGAGGAAGACGAGAACAGTCTAGTGGACGTGGAAGACCTGCAGCATCAGCACCAGGGCAGCAGTCCCACGCCGGTCAGACCCACGCCGGCCTACATCGGCGGATTTTCCAGTCTGGGCAGCATCTCCGGCATCCCGGCCGGGCTGCACCCCGCGGTCTGGGGCGGCGGGCACCAGGGTGCAGCCGCAGCCGCAGCCGCGGCCGCCGCTGCGGCCACCGCGAGCTTCTTCCCCTCGCACTTCTCTCATCACGCGCCTCTGAACGGTGAGTACCCGCGGTCCTCGGCTCGTTTGCCTTCTGTTTTTGTCCGTAGCCCGTTTGCCATTTGCTAGGCCGACGACAACCGTGTACGGCGCGTCTTTGAGCCGCTGGCCGGCCGCCAATCGGCTCCTCGTTGGATTTTTTCCTAGGCCGAGACAGGGCTCGATTGCGAGGTAGTTAAGAGTAAGTGTCGGGGAGTAGAGAAAGGCTGTCGGACGCGACAGTGGGCCCGTTCAATGGCAGCCGACGGCTTCGACATTCTTCGCTTTCCTCGACCCCCGTTGTTCGCGGGTAAAATTAGTCGCGCTGCAGCGCAAGTCTCCCGCACGCCTCTGATCGGTCCCCGATTCCTCTCCCCTGCTATTTTCGCGTCCGAAATCGCGATTGGCAAGGTATTCCGGCGGAGGAAGAGAAAGAAACGCGTATACAAATGTACATATGTATATATATAGACACGCGTGTATGGAAAGGGCGCGCGTGCATACACGCTGTCACAAAATGGCTCTCCGACGCAGGAGTCCGAGGAATCCGAGTGTCTGGAAGCTGCGTTCTCACGAGACGACTCGGAACGGGGGTTTACCGGCGTCTAGCTGAAAGCCAGGTGATGGCTCGACGAATTCTGTCAGCGTTAAGCCGACGTTGAACGGCCGGAATTAAAATACCGCGGCGGCACGGGGAAAAAGGGACTAATTGATAAATTGAGACACACGGTGTCGTGGCCGCGACGTTATTAGCGATCGAACGTCCGGCCGGGAGAAGGTAGTCACCTAAAATCTCCGTAAAAGGAATGCAGTTCTCGGAACGCGCGAGCGGATGACTCGTCGCGATTGAATCATCGTTAACACTAATTATTGAGGTCGCGGCTTGATAATTGCGCGGGGCTCTCGTTAAAGAGGCAATCAAAGTTTTCTCGCTTCGTCGGAGCGCCGCCACGCTGGCAGAAAGAGGGAACAGAGGGCCGGTTCTTGTCGGGCTGGCGGAATCCGGGCGACAGACAATAGGCGATTATTACAAAAAGGTGTCGCAACTGCGAATCGTCTGCCAGCGATTGGAAAACTACTTTTTGCAATCTCGCCACTCTCTCTTCGCTTTTTCCCCCTTTTTGCAATTCCTCGAATTCCTGATCCATCGATCCGCGGAACTGCATCTTCCGGCGTCGCGTTATCGCGAGGATTTGCATCTGTGCGCGATTCACAGTGTGTATCTGTTGCGGCCTCAGGACCGAACGTCTCTAGTTAAATGGAGGACTGTTTGTTCGTATACACTCGTTATCACCTACCTCTTCACTACTTGGGTGAACCTTGACAAGGGTTAATAACTTATCCTTAACTCAACTCATCCATAAGACCCAAATTATTTAAAAGACGTCGAAGCTAACACACACCCCCAATATTATTCACAATAGATAGAAAGACGCACACCCAGCACTTACATTTCACACCAACCCATCAGTAGACATACGAAACTTATAAAATCACCGAAACAGCAGACACGAAAGAGTCTCCTAAAAATTTCAAGAAGACAAGACAAGCATCACGATCAGACAGTGAAGACAGACCCGTGACGATTAACTCGGCGCGAGAGACAGTCACGCATCGGAACTCTTTAGTTCAACCCTAACCAGGTCTAAATCTATTAATTTAGAGTAGGCTGCATCCCAGCAATCACGTAAACAGGCCTTACAACCCCGGGACGCGACAGTATCTTTGAATACTGGTATCATCGAGATTCGACGGGTTTCTCGGAAATCGATTTTGGAGTAAGACGATGATGGAAGACGGAGGTTATAATTAGCGTGATACGTGTACAGCGAAGCTTTCCTCGCGAATCTGTCTCCGTGTCAATTTATAGATCATTGTTGCGCGATTGCGACGCGATTTAGGGTTGCTCGCGAGGAGAATACAATCGACCATAATCGAGGCTGAGAGTCGCGTAGGGGAACCAGCGTGATTTTGAAATATGGCCTCTCGTGGAGGGTGCTTCTCCGGATTGCGTAACCCTTCAAACTTTCGCTCGACTCACCTCTCAGACTGTCTTCTACATGGGGTTGAAGATCGGGGTTGAAAGCGTGGTTTCTCGCGTCGGAAAAATCTGCCGGTACACGTGTGCGCGTGTTTTCCATAGATTCGCGGGGAAAAATTGCCGCGGGTAAATTAGAGGCAATCGCGCGAGGTAATTTAACCTAAGAAATGTCAAGTCGCATAAATGAATTGCCCTTTCATTAGAGAAGCTGATTCATTCGGACAGGCAAGATAGATATACTCGATTTCGCGGAACGTTCTTTAGAATTTCGTTTTCTAATAAACGAACGAGCACGCTTACGCTCGTTTATCGACCGAGCCGACTAATAAGAGCGCATAGAAATCGTGGCCCATGGAAACATTGCGCAACGCGACAAAGAGCGCCTGGATCGGACGAGCGGGATATTACCCCCCCCCTTTCCCCCTGCGTTAGAATATCTCCGCGAGATCAGCTAATTATTTCAGTAATTTGCATGATAATCGACCGAAAGGGTACCTTCTTTTCACCGCGGCCTTCGTTGCTCGTTGCCGATGCATACGATTCGATTTTGCTCCTCGTCAATACCTATAATTGCGTCGTCCTCGATCGAGCGAATCTCGCTCCGCCATCGGCGATCTTCGAAGAAATTCTTCCGAGATATTCCTCGGAGAAGGGAGCAGAAACTTGCTTACCGGAACTGGCGTAATATCCCAATTTCCGCGACGCAGACCGTTCCAAAAAGGGTTCGGAGAACGAAGATGCAGCGCGATGACGATCGTTGGACGAATCGGTGGAGGATCGTTACGCAACGATCGACGGAGAATCTCCAGCACGAATCCACCTCCGCTCCGGATCGTTTCGCGGAATCTTCGCGGTATCTCCGCGAGATCAGCTAATTATTTCGAATGCGCATCCTCGATCGTTCGAATCGGATTAAAATGGGGCCGGGGCCGGGGCCGGGGGTTTTGGTCCGAAAATCGGCGGAGGAATCGGCGAAGGAATCGGCGGAGTGAATCGGCGAAGGAACTGGCGGAGGAACCGACGGATCCCCGAATACCGAGACTAATTGGGACCCTTAGAGAGTCGTAGCGAGAGAAAGGCAGAAAGAAAGGCGAAGTGGGTGGGAAGAGGGAGGATCAGCGGACAAAGGACGAGGAAGGCTCGTCAGAGTGGTCGTCTCGAATGGCAAAAGCCTCGGCTCGCGAATTCCGAAGCAGGAAGGACGCGGTTTCGTGCGGCGGAGGACGAGGGTAATGGAGGACGAGGGTCTCCGGTGGAAAATTTGAAATTCAGAAGCGACGAGAGGAGAACGAGCACGATCTTCCTGGCCTTTTGTCTCGTCTCGAGATCGCTCGTTTCCAGAGCCGTTCACCTCCGCTCTACAAATCTGTCAATTGTCCCGAGACAAATCTCGGGGAATATAACCGATATGTTTCGACACGAGCCTCCGTTCCTCTCTTCGCTTCTGATAAGATGTCCCGTTGTTTCGTCGCGTTCGATTGTCCCGGCTTATTGTACCGGTCGCGACAACCCGCTGCTTCGTTCCCTCGCATCCTGCGAGATTTTCCAGACTAATTTACCTACGATCTCCTTCATTGTCCCCTCTTTCCACGGTTATCCCTATACCGGATACCACTACGTTTTTACCCGCGCACCGGAAATTGTTTACTCGCGAGGAAAAACAAAGCCGGGTCGTGGACGGACCCCGGAGCCACGACACCAGGCGTATCCCGGTACCTAACGAGCCCGCAAAATCCATAAAACTGCCCTGCCCACCGCGCATACCCGGTACCGCGTCGACCCATCACCCTGGACGAGTGGACGATCGACCACGGGCAAAACCATCGGCCAAAGGAGTGCCAAAAAAGCTAAGTAGCCTGGCAACGCGCGAGCTTCCGCGCAGGAACCTCTCTGACCAGTGGTTCTTCCTTTCCTCTGTCCAGTGCCCTGCCCCGTAGTACCCTAACCGCTGACACGGTAATCGTAATCGTACCGAGAGGCCCCAACCCAAAGGTCTAAGCTCGCGTAGTGGATTATTCGGTGAAACGGGAGATTATCGGCACACCTTTCTCCGCGGGACGATATATCGCCGCTAATGAATACAAGCGATAGCGTTAGAGGAGCGATTCGCGGACGGAATGTTGCGGTCGGTCAGCAAAAAGGTAATGAGGCCAGTTTGCGGCGCCGTTCCGACGGGAAAATTATGAATTGACCCCTAAAAAGTCGCGCTCGCTTTCCTGCCGTGCTCCGGGATCCTGGGCCGCGGCAAAAACAGGACGTTGCGGTCGGCCAGGGTTCGCCTCGGTTCGTTCTAACCCGCGAAACACGTTCCCCTCGCTCTCTTTGCTCGCTCCGGGAGTGACGATGAATGACGACGACGACGATGGATGATCCTCGAGCGGAACACGCTTTCGGTTGCAGAGAACGGAGAACCGGCCAAGATCAAGTGCAACCTGAGGAAACACAAGCCGAACCGGAAGCCGAGGACGCCTTTCACCACGCAACAATTGCTAGCTCTCGAGAAGAAGTTCACCGAAAGGCAATACCTCAGCGTGGCGGAGAGGGCAGAGTTCTCGTCCTCTCTTCATCTCACGGAGACCCAGGTGAGATACTCTCGATATTTCCTTTTAGAATCCTGGCCCAGTTGCTGCGGGTTCTCCGAGGTTCCTAGCGTCTTTCGGGATCGGTTTACGTGCAACTGTTTCGAAGGTACTGTCAATGCCTGTTATCTCGCAATTCTTAGGATTCTCGATCTCCGCTTGCCAGGTTTCTCGTGTCCCGTTCGGTTGATTTGTCAGGGGTACGATAGAGGGGTTCGATATGTCATAGAATCTGGATAATTAGCGGTAAACGATTCATCTCGGACAAGCAGCTTTCCGTGAACTCTGAGCTCAACCTAAAAACTCTTTACTCGATGCTATGGATACTTCGTGGTTGCTTTGCGATATTGCCATGTTAGATCTATCGTAAGAACTCGTTTCGTAACAGGTAGAAAACGATCCTTTACAGGATACCTAATTTTCCACGGACTCCCTTCTAAAAGAAACTTCGGAAGGAAAAATTTCACTCGATCCTATCGATACATCACGGTTAACTACCTAGGGATAGGTTCTCGTTGTGCCATAAATTTCGATAATAGATGGAATATTCGTAGGAATTATTCTATTAATCTCGAGCTACTAAATACCGCGAATTCAGCTATTACTCCAAGGTCTAACAGCAAGTACCTATTACAAGCATCGTAAACTCCATTGTCTTACACCGACTCGTACTCAAAACTCCAGCTTTGTTACGGCCTCTGGTCCCAACAATGTTCTCGCAGCCTGTCAGAGGCGCAATCCCGTGATTCAATTGGAACATTGTACTCGTGACATCTTACGTGGTACACGCAACGTGTTAACACGGGAATCGACTCGAAACCCGGTTTCTTTTTTCCTCGGGACCAGGCCACGAATCGAGGCTCCAGTTCTGAACGGATCCGGGGCTGATGTCTGCCAGATGCAGGGTAATTAGCGCGCGATATTCCCGACGCTGGCGGACAACACGGCCATTTTATTAATAGACTACAAATTGTCTGAAACCCGCGATGACCGACCAATTATCTCAGATCGCAGTCCTGCTTTCCACTGTCCACGAAACGCGGTTTCGTCTTTGCGTCTGTCAGCGTGGCGATTCGTTCGCTGCACTCCTTGTCACGGAGACCTATGGCCTCTCGACAAATTCCCTCTGTCTTTACGGCGGAGAGCACAAACTCTCGACATTGGTTTCGCAAGTATTCTTGGAAACAATGACAAGATGCTCGTCCTCTTCGCAGTTTCGATAATTACGTTCTTCATGCTCTCTCGAACGATAATCATCGTCGTATTAACGCTACAACTACCGATCTTTCATGCTGATCTTTCATACCTCAACGTTGCAGACGTAGACAATAGTAATTTTAGCGGTACCACGAAGATTAGTGAATATATTAATTACTGTTCCATCCTAATGTGAGTTGACATTAATTTTTTCCTAGAAGTAGGTACATGTTGCTAGTGAATGCAGGGGGGAAAATTCTGAAACCTAGTTCTAGTGTCAACGAAGATTTAACTTGTACCGAAATGTAATTCAATTCATCTTTGTAAATTTATAGTGTCGTTTTAACGCTAGAACTACCGATCTTTAATGACGATCTTCGATACCTAATTATTGCAGACATAGACAATAGTAATTTTAGTGGTACCATGAAGATTAGTGAATATATTAATTACAGTTCTGTCCTAATGTGAGTTGACAATAATCTTTTTCTAAAAGTAGATACATGTTTCTAGTAATTACAGAGAGGAAAATTCTGAGACCTCTAGTTCTAGTGTCAACCAAGATTTAACTTATATCGAAATATAATTGAATTCACCTTCGTAAATTTATACAGAGACGTATCTATCGAAATAAAATTCAACAGAGAACCAGTGTTAATTAAAATTGTATTATCAATTTGATATGAATGCCGATTTTACTAGTAGCAGCTCTGCATACTGCCAATACCCACAAATAACAAAGGTAAGACTATCTATAGATAGTCACATTCCAACCTAACCAATTCGATCCTCGCATCTCCCCACATATCGTCAACGATAATATAATCCTAATTAAAACCTGTTATTAATTCAATATTAGCGTCAATTTTGCTACACAACTGTATCCATAGAAAGCCGTTTTAACTACTCGTTGCTGTCCATCTTCGCAACCATAACCCACATCGACGGATTCTCGTTGGTCCACCACAGTAGCCGCGAATCCTTTTTATCACCCGAGATCTGCCAAGCAATTGTCCCCAAACCGCAGCGCAAACCGCTCGTCGAAGTCGTCGAGCCGTTAAGGCCGGAATAACTATCGAGTAACGAGCTCAAACCGATTTCATTGTTGCAGGTGAAGATCTGGTTTCAAAATCGTCGCGCGAAAGCGAAGCGCATGCAAGAAGCGGAGATCGAGAAATTGCGGATGTCGGCGGTCAGGCAGCACCACACGACCCTCTACGGCTCTCATCCGGGCCTCTTGGCACCGGCCAGCCTGTATCCCGTCGGGATGCTGTCTCACCCGGGTCTCACGCCGCATCATCCCATCTCTCAGCACCCGTCCAGGGAATGAGAACAGCGAGAGCAGCCGGATAATCGTCACGACCGGTAGTGAACCGACCTGCCCTACGAACTGCCATTCTCCCGCGAATTCGCTGTCACGGGTCAGCCGTGACCCACGGGATCCGCGGTGAAATTGGAAGAACACGGAGATTTGCGAGTTGCAAAGAGTCGAGAGAAGAAGTCACGGTAATCGGAGCAGAGTGCGTTTATTGACCGTGAAAAGAGGGAAATACGCCAAGTGCAGACTCGAGAAACGCGTCACTGGGTTTGGTTACCCAGAGTGCATCGTGCGGAGGTGCCTGAGGACGCGGGTACCTGCGATACGCTTGCGAGGAGTCTGACCAAAGTGGAACGCGTTTTGCGAGCAAAAGAGGCTGGATTTTGTAAGAACTTTGGACTCCAGCCTTCGAATCGAACTGTCGCGTCGTTAACGACTGAAACTCGTCCGGCGAGAGGCGAGGGACGAAGCCAAAAGAACGAGGAGGTCGCTTCCATGGGGAGCCATGGTGTATCGTGAATCTGTGCCAATATCAGACACGCTGTTGCTCCGCGTGTCATGTACATAGAGTGTAAATAATCGTCGTTCTCGAGTTGAAAGTTCACGTAGTCCTGTAAATACCGATTAGCTTGTCCTCCAGGGATCGGTGGATCGAAGCTGCCGAGTCTGTTTTCCAATTTTGTATAAATGTAAAACCGTCGCCGAGAGAGTAGCAGAGTTTATTTAATAAACCACAGTATAGAATTAACGCCTGTTGTTTCTCACTGATAATTCCCAATTTCGGTATGGCCGATTTTCACGTGGAATCGGTAGAAAGAACGGAAAGGAAGAGAGAAGAGGGACATCATTGGCAGAAGTTAGAGGAAAAATTCGATTCCGCGAGATCGATACGGATTTAATTCTTCGAACGAACGATCGTTGTGTTCCTAATTGAATGCCGATCGACGAAAGCCGTACCTCGAGTGCAGATATGGACGTCGTTAAACGTCGATGAAAATGGGAGAATCACGGGAGGATGGCTAATTGAAAAGCTCACGGAGCCTTCCCGATCTGTGCGCGCCGTCGATTAGAAAGTTGGAATAAATTACCAATGGCAATTAAACGAGCCGATGATCTTCGCGACCCGGTGATCGATAAATCGAACGAATTTATTTGGCCGGCAATAGCCCATAATCCGCTTTAATGTTCGAATAACGCTCGATTTATGATCGCATAAATGACAACAGGCTTTTAGGACTCGGGACGTTCGCGTATAAACCGGCGATCAGTTTTACGGATACGGAGATCGATGTTAGAGCGGGGGGGACGAGGGAAAAGCTGTAGGGGAACGTATGAGAATCGTTCGGCACGGTTGACGGCCGTTTTTTCGAAATTTATCGTCGAAATATCGCCGGAGATATCGGCCCGATCAATTTACCCCCGCCGATCGTTCGCGCTCGATTCGTTACCGAGCGCTTCGCGGCGAATTAAAGCTATTCAAATGACAGGAAACTTGTTTAAGCGAACGATGAGGCAACCGAAGGAGAAGCTCGGGCAACTTTCTTCGATCTTCTCTAACAAGTTCGGCAATCATCGGCTACTAATCAACTACAATCCTACCAATTCACACCGGGCCCCCTCACCCCGTCTCTGTGCTCGTGGCGTGAGTCATATTTCACGAAATCACGGTGTATCATCTTCAATGTTTCCGATTCTCCCACAACGAGAGAGAGAGAGAGAGAGGATGAGAGACGGAGATGTTCCCGTTGATTCACCCGCTTATCTAAGCCTTCATCGGATACGAGATTCCTTTTTATACCTTTTCGAATTAATAAAGATTTTTTTCTCCAAGACTACGACCTTACCCGGACGTATCGAGGAACGTCCGGATTCCGAGATTTAGTAACTGTATCTTAACCAAAAATTCGAGACGATCGCTTCATCCGAGGCTTCGAACGAGACCCAGTGTCCCGTCCTTATCTTCCAGTTCGCCTTCTCTTTATTTCGTACATTCGACGACATTAACACGTGTATCCCAGACGCCTTCAATTTTCAGGTTCATCTCTTTGACCTCTTCGAGGTGGGAATCCTTCCTTGAACTGCTGCAAGCTTGAATAAAAATCTTGGGTGCATTCTCATCCTCGAGTTTGCATTTTACATACGCTGGCCTTACTCGCGAGTGGGGTTCCATGGTATGGGACAATCCTGATACACTCTGCCAATGTTACAAATCAATGCAAAATTTCTGACATTATAGTCTGTGTTGGTACACCGAAAGTGTCAATGACTACAAACACACTACGAGTATTAAATACAGAAAGGAACAGACTATAGTCGATGTACTCCACTTTTTAGTCGCACCCCGTTTATTTGTTTAATCCAGAATCTCGGAAATTGACAACGTTTTGCGAAACTGTTCTTCGAACGCTTCTTAGGACACTTTTGACAGCGCGTAGGTTCTAAAGCAGAATCCTGAAAGAAGCTGACGTTTGGGAACACGAGCCCAGGGGCACGGGGTACGTTGGGGTTCCAAGGTATGGAACAATCCTGATATACTCTGCCAATGTTACAAATCAATGCAAAATTTCTGACATTATAGTCTGTGTTGGTACGCCGAAAGTGTCAATGACTACAAACACACTACGAGTATTAAATACAGAAAGGAACAGACTATAGTCGATGTACTCCACTTTGCAGTCGTACCCCTTTACTTCGTTTAACCCAAAATCTCGGAAAATGACAATATTTTGCAAAGCTTTTCTTCGAACGCTTCTTAGGACACTTTTGACAGCGCGTTGGTTCTAAAGCAGAATCCTGAAAGAAGCTGACGGTTGAGAGCACGAGTCCAGGGACACGGGGTACGTTGGACGGGCACGAAGGTCCGATGGCAATCTTCGCGGGGTGAACACGTCCCCTGCGCCCCTCGCGTACCCCGCCCTTCCGACGGTGTCCAACTGGTGGCACTCTCGCGTCCCGGCGATTACGTCGCGACGATTACGCGGTAGCCGAGAATGGCGTCTCTGTGCGTACATGTCGCGGGAATAAATTAGCCGTGGCAATTAGTTTCGGAATCGACCCGCCCCGGGCGGCCGGCGCCACCATCTTGATTGCACCCGTGGAGAACCTTTAAAGACAGTAGCCAGCACTGTTTGCCGAAAGGCTCGGGAGCGCCGTTCGCGCGGCCTAATTAGCGATGCCCACCGAGATATCGCCGACGTACGCTAATAATACCGAGCATAAATATTCCGAATTTTTTCGTCTGGTGGCCCGTCCGCTCCTCCGAACCCCTGCCGCCCCTCGTCCTCCTCTCTCTCCATCTTGCATCGTCCTCATCTTCTTTCCTCCTCCTTTCGCGATCTCTCGCAGGCTTCTTCCACTCACAGACTCGCTAATTTCTTATCGTCGATGCCTCTTATCGCGACGATGCTTTTTTCGCCAAGATAAGACTATAGCAGACTGTAAGAGACTATAAGAGACCGTTTCTGGACAGCTCTCCAGAAAGATCGAAAGTGAAAGCGGAGATGTGGGCTCGCTACGTGTGGGTGCCGTGTGGGTGCGGGTTTGCACAGTTAGCGCCAGCTTAAAGATACTAATTGCTCGGTTCAATTTCTCCGTTTCTTCCTCGTGGTAAATCGTCATATCGTCCTCGACGGTAAGCCTTCCTTCGGCTCGACTCGGTTGCCCTCTCGCGCCACCCCAAACTGACCCTTCACCCCTGTCCGTTGACGTCGAACGCGTGCTTCGCCTCTAATCGAATAATTAAACACTTCCGTCGATTCTTCGGACTCGAACTCACCCGACTCCACGAATGGCATTAACTCGGCCAACCTTGGGCATAAACTGTCCCGCAACGGTCCCACGATTCCGACGCGCCAGGCGAGATCGGCGTCGAGCAACGAGGCTGTCCCCGGTTAGAAAACCGTCCATTTTCCTTTACCCGTTGACCAGCGAGATCCACGCGTGCCCGTCGCCTATCGCCATCTTCTTATCGCGATTGCTCCGTTTCCAGCGACTCGTCTCTCGCTTTCCGCTTCGTACGCATGAATTTTAATCGCGTAATTAGTCGCCGGTCACCGGTCTCCTACTCTGCGCCGCTTCTTTTGCTCCGCGTTTCGTGTACACAGATAACATCGATCAGATGATATCGCCTAAGCTACCGGTCCGCTTGTTAGGCCTAACTGCGCCACCCCGTCATCCGTTCACGTTAATGCCGCATTATCTCGGCTCCCGTTTCAATGAACGGCCCAGGGAAAAATCGGCCTACACGCTCCATCGATAAGGGAACACCACGGGGAATTTCCTTCGTTTCCGTCGTTACAGGTGCGCGCGATCCGCTCGACTAATTAGCCGATCTCCGTTCTACGCGCTGCCAACCCTTCTTGCCTCTCGCGCCATTGTCACGCTTCCAGAGATGATTGATCACCCGTTCTTCGCTGCTCTCCACCTGGACCAAGGGGTGCTTCGATTGGCACGGCCGTTGAGAGTTAAATAGGGTGGCTTCTTAGGGTGCGTTGGGGATCTTACGCGGAGGACGGGGTCTAATGACGCTGGGTCTTGGAGAAGATGCTGCGTGGAAGCTTCGGTGAGCAGAATTCAAAATAGGGAGCAACGGGTGCTTCTTCGCGTTAGGGGTTGATAGTGGGAGAGACAAATCTAAGCTCAATTTAATAGTTAAAAGAAGTTTTATATAAGAAGTATTTACATATCCGTTTTGACACTTGTTTGATGTGTTCGAGGTCTAGTGCAGGATCGCAGCTCGATATTATTTTCTATCGTTAGTGGAATT